CGCCAGCTTGAAGCCGCCTGCTCCCTGCAGCGTCCCCCGAGCCCTGGACAGTTCCTGGCACACAGTGAGCACTCAGAAGGTGACTGGAGTCAAGAGTGGACTTCAGCTTGCCCTGGTCTGAGCCCCGGTGGCCTTTCCTCTGGCCCGAGCACAGACCTTTGCTGTTGTGCCTTAAATCCACGAGGGAGAGAGGGACAGCAGCTCCAGCACCTGGCCTGGGGACTGAGACACAGTAGGTCCTCAGCACACAACCACAGCACCTCCTCCCTCCACCCTGGAATGAGAGCCTGCAGTGAACTTTTGGGTAGGTTCAGGCATGCGCATCACGTTCACCTGTTACTGTCCCACTGTCCAACAAATACTCACTTGTTCCAGGCCCTGTCCTAGCTTGGGGTATGGCTGGTACACAGGACAGGATAGGCCATGTTCGGTGCTCACGGAGCTGTCTGCGCGCCACGGGTGATGGGTGTCAGACAGAAAGTCACACACACACGACTAATGTCCTTTTAAAACCAAAGACCCCGTGTCAGGCATCGCAACGCTGGCGCTGAGATGCCCTTGGCCGCTGGCTTGCTGTGTGATCTGGGTGGGTCTTCTCCCGCTCTCTGGTTCTGTTTCCCAACTGGTAAGGGGTGGCCCAGCTGGGCTCCGTGCTTGAGGGGAGCATCTGCCAAGGACAGGAGAGAAGGCCCTTCTCTCTGGGAGTGCGTGTCCCTAGGTGGGGAGCTGTCCTTGCAGGTCCTCCTGTCGTTGGCTTTTCGGTGGGGCCCTGCCCTGGCTCTCCAAGGAGGGTCCGATTTGGGACTGAGTCCCAAAGGCCCTCTGGACAGAGTTGTGGCTGCAGAGTTTTAGTGGAAAGCATTGCCTCAGCGAACAGTGGGCTCTTCCCTGACCACTGGTAGAAGTGCGTCCGTTGGAACAGGCTTAAGACAAAGTAGAAAGACACTCCAGAGCTGCCAGGCCTTCTCCGCAGGGGCTGAGGAGCCTGTTTCTGTCTCCAGGTCACCAGGGGAAGGCGGGGCTGTTTTGAAACTCTCCTGTCCTAGGGCTGAAAAACGACCAGAGGCAGCAGAGTGGAGTCGCTGCGGAGTGGCCCGGGGTAGCCACGCGTGTGTTCTGTGTTGTCCTCGGAGTCCTATGCAACTGGCCAGTGTCGTCTCAATGTGGGATTTCTCTGTGGCCCCCTTTGGTTACCGGCGGTCTCTGGATGCTATGGGAAGGTGTAGCAGCCCCAGGCCCAGCACCCAGTCAGCTGCCATTGCGTTGGGCGGCTGGTGGCCTCTCGGGCTCTCCAGCATCCCCAAACCGCGCTGGCCTGGCCCCCACACTGCGCATTTTGTGGGTTGCTTCTGGGCAGGTAGAGGAGTTCCTGCTCCCGTTAACCCAGGGTCTGACTCAATGCAGGTGGGAGAGTGATTTCCTGTCAGCTTCCTCAGGCTTGGCATTTGCAGCCCTTCAAGGGAGAGCGAGCGCTGGGTCTAGTGCTGAGTTTGTTCTTGGTGTGGAGGGTAGGGGCCTGTGGCAGCGAGGCGGGCTGGAGCAGGGGAGTCCAGGCAGCTGCACTTCCCGCGGCACCCCTCAAGCTTGCAGTGGCCTCGTTCCCTCCCCGCACCACATGCTAGCAGAATATACCAGGTCCTTCAGACTCAGAAGCTGGCAGCCCTCACCTGGGGCTTGGGAAGTGCCCTTCCTGGGCACCAGGGCGAAGGCAGGCCTGGGCCTCTGTTTCTGACCAGCTCCCGGGTGATGCCCAGGCCCACGTTGCGGACTGGGACCATGCTGTGAGCACAGGAGATGAAGGGTCTTAGGAGGTGCCTGCTCTGCTCTAAAAGCCAGGCCCTGTGCCTTGTGCAGGCGTCGTCGCCTGAATCCTCACAAAGGAGACCGTTATTCCCATTTTGCTCGTGAAAACCTGAGGCCCTGCTGAGGACAGGCCTCTCGCCAAGGCCACACAGCTGGGAGCCGGCCGAGCCGCCCTCTGGGCCCACGCCACCTCGGAAAGGCTGCTGGCGGGGAAGCCTTGTACTACTGAACAGTGTCCTGGCTCCAAAAGCCACAGGAGGCTCTTCAAGGCAGCCAAGTCGGATGTAAATCAGGGGAGAGCCCAGGGCCAGCCAGGCCCTGCTGACAGCGGGGCAGCAGAGGCCGTGTGTCCGGACAAGGCCCACAGCGGGATTTGATGCTGGCGTGCTGCCCGGGAAGGAGGGGAGCTGCTGGGGATGCTCTCGGCGCCTGGAAGACCCGTGTGGGGACCGCCGGAGCCCAGGAGCTACCTGTGGCTCTCACGGCCTCTCCCATTGCCTGCATAAGTCCCGGGTGGAGGCTGGCTGGGAGGGCGGCCTGGGCCTGCGTGAGCTGGGCCCTGGCGCTGCAGCTGTCTCTAGGCTGGCTTATCTTGGCAGCCGCAGGGGCATTTTCCGTAACTAGGGGTCTGCTTTGAGGACGGGGAGTTTTATTTTGCACTGAGCAGCTATCTTTCACAACTGAGAAGAGTAAATGGATCAAGAGTCTGGGTCGTTGGACCAGGAGTGCCGTCTCACCCTGAAGCTCTTCAGAATGCAGAACCACGGGCCCCACTCAGACCTGCTGCCTTAGACGTGGGCATGGGGCCCTGCAATCTGTGTTTTAAAGAGTCCCTAGGTGATTCTCCTTCCTGCTGGACTTTTAGAAGGGCTGATCCCCACATCCTTGGTTGCTGTGCTTGGGGTGGGGCCTGGGGTTGGGGGAAGGTCAGGCCTGAGCCTAGCACGTGATAGAGCCCCCTGCCTGTGCTGCTGGAACCTCAGGTGTCACGTTATCTGCCCCTTTCCTCTCTTCTGATGGGGTGAGCCTTAGAAAGATAAGGGGGCATGCATAATATTACACAGCAAGTTCAAGGCCTGGTATAGGTCTGAATTCTTAAGACTACAAATGGCAGAAATCTTACTTTGAAAATAAAGACCATTTACTGACTCCTTTAATTGAAAAGCCTAGGGTCGTACTTCAGGCATGGCTGGATCCAGGTGCTGAGAGATGTCAATGAGACTCAAGTTTCTTTCTCTTAATTTCTGGCTTCCCTGTCCCTCTGCCTGCTCCATTCTCCATGGGGCTTCCCTAGCTGCTGCCCAGTGTTGTGTACCCCTCCCTCCAGTGAAGTCATCTCAGCGTGACTAGAGCCTTCTTTTTCCCCAGTATTTTAAAGCAAAAGTCCCAGTGGCACTCTCTTCGACTAGGCTCGATCAAGTGCCTGTCCTTGAGCAAGTTCACCCAGCCTCCTCTGATCGGCTAGGCCTAGCTCAAGCGCTTACCTAGAAGCTAGTTCCTCCAGATCCCGTGGGCTGAGAGTGGGTGTTTGTGGGTCTCAAGTGGAACAGATTGATGGCAGTCCCCAGAAGGGGTGTGGGTGCCAGAAGGCTAGGCCCACAGGGACTTGAGGGCCATTGTCTCCCTCTCTGAGCCAGGCTAGCACCTCAGGCAATGAGTAGTGTTTCACCCTAGACAGAATTACACTCTTGTTCCTCCAGTTACCTTAATATTGTGCTTGTGATTGTGCTTTCAGCTTGCTAACTTCGTCTTTTTATCCCTTTTCCCTTGCTGTGGTCCAGGATGGCAAGGTACACGCTGCCACTTCCTGTGCCCACACCATGGCAGACATTGCTAATCCACCCCAGCCTTCACAGAACCACGTGTCCACCTAGAACATGAGGGGTGGCATCTTTGTCTTGGGCCCCAGCCTCTAGCCTGTAGCTCCAGCCTTTGTGAGTACAGGGACCTCTGCTCTCTTGTCATTGCTGTGTTCCCGTACCCAGTGCAGTGCCTGGCACATAGCAAGTGCTCTGTGATTTGTTGACTGGCTCTCCCTGCCGCACAGTGCCTGGGCGCCGGTGTGAGCCTGTTGAATGTGGGAGCCCCACAGGGCAGTGCGGTCATGGGCTGGGAGCGCTGTAGGCTGAGGGCATCATGGTTGCGGACTCTGTGTTTCTGAGTCTGGGAAAGAGGCTTCAGAAGGGCAGGGCTACAACCGGCACAGCAGAGAGAGAAGGGAGGAGAAGCCCTGGGGGCCTCAGCCTCAGCCACCCGCCACCCACCGCCCACCTCACCACCCTCCCTCTGGAGGTGACCACTGCCCTCGCTAATCCCAGTTGAACTGTTCACTGAAATTTAAGATCTCCGTTGAGAAGAAACCATTTCCTGGCTTTCTGCATTTTCAGATTCCAGGAACCCGAGAGCCTTCCAGCCTCCAGGCAAGAAGGTTTGCTGGTGGTTGGAGAGGCAGAGTTGTCTCTTTCCCAAATTGAGTTCCGAATAACAAGAGGTATTCTATTGAAAAAACAAAGGAGAACCAGTGTTAAAAAAGTAAAAAAAGGCTTCCGGGGTTTGTCCCAGCAGGGACTGCTTGGCTCAGCAGATTTCCTTGGCGCAGTGGTTCTCAGCTTCACATCACATTCCCAAGAGCCTTCAGGGCTCCCAGGGCTTCCCACAGCCCCCGATCCTGCCTTGGTGTGTCCCTGAGCTCTTGGAGACAGTCAGTCTCGAGACAGAGCTGGCAGGGGCTCCCGGGACCATGGACTTTCCCTGGTTAGGAGTGGAGGCAGCTCACCCATTTGTAGCCGTGACCCCATGTGACCACGGGCTGGCCAGCTCCTCATGGCCCAGGCAGACAGCAGGGGATGCTGAGTGTCAGGGACCCCACGTCCTGGAGATGGATGTATGTGTGCGAGGGGAGTGCGGGTCTGTGTGTGGCTGGGAGTATGTGTGTGTCTGACTAGGAGTCTGTATGCACACGTGTGTGTGCATGTGTCTGTGTGAGGTTGTGTTTGCCTGTGCACACATGTGAGTGTGTCTGTGTGAGATTGTGTTGGTGTGTGCAAGCCCGTGTTGTGAGCCCCAGAATCCTGGTTTTCCTTGTCCGGGTCTCCGCATTGTGCTTGGTGGTCATGGGTGTACAGATCAGAGCCATGTGTCCATCAGACCCTGACCTGTCTCCTTTCTGTGTCTGCTTCCTCTTTTTCAATAGGTCCAGAGCCAGAACCACAGCCCGTTCTGAGGAGCTTCCAAAGAGTAAGTGGCCTTTGACCTCCTGTGGGGATCATGCCTTACTGATGTGCGGTGACCTCAGGAGCCTTGGGAGTTCAGTGTCTCTCCAGGCTCCTGGAGGAGGCAGCACCCCTGAGGCCTCTGGGCCTTGTCTGCACCTCACCTCCCGGTCGCGGGGCCCCTGGCCTGGCTTGGCCACCTGTATCTGCTTGGTCTCGGCCTGGTGGTGTTGGGGAGGTGGCAGCCCTGCAGGTGGGCCAAGCCTTGGTTTTGGAGGCCCAGTCGAGACCCTGTCCTGGCCCTGCTGCAGGCAGCTTCGGGAATGTGCCTCACAGGGACGGCGGCCTTACTGAGCAGGCTCTGAGGAATGGGGTCAGACGCTTGTGTAGGGCCGAGCTTGGCTCTGGTACAGATGAGTGCCCCAGGAATTGGGGCCACCATCACAATCATCTCTCGTCGGTGTAACGTTTTATATTTAGGAGAATTGAATATCTTCAGGAAAGTGGCCACAGGAGCATTTGAATGGACTCCGGTGGTGCCCTTCGCCGAGAGTTCTCCGTTTGCCACATTCTTATCCTTCCGTGTGTTCTTCTTTCTCTTTGTATGTTCTTTTCTTTTCTTTTTCTTTTTTTTTTTTTTTTTGAGATGGAGTCTCACTCCTTCACCCAGGCTAGAGTGCAGTGGTACGTACGCTTACGGCCACCCTGGTGTTGACCTGCTGGGCTCTGGTGAGCCTTCTGCCTCAGCCTTCCGAGTAGCCGGAACCACAGGCATGCGCTACCACACCTGGCTTTTTTTAAAAGTTTGATTGTAGAGATGAGGTCTCGCCAAGTTTCCCGGGCTGGTCTCGAACCTACAGGCTCAGGCAATCCGCTGGCCTGGCCCTCCCAAAGTGCTGGGATTATAGGCTGAGCCACCGAGCCAGGCCTGTATGTTCTTTAAGAGTAGTCACGTAAGTATTCTTCCTGTTCTGCTGACTCACTGGGGAGCGGGTTGCAGGCAGGATGCCCCTTTACCCCAGTCCTTCAAGTCTTTCGCAAGAACAAGGCCACTCTTATATAACCGCGGCACGGTTATCTACCCCAGGACATTGATTTGACATTGGCACAATTCTCTTATCTAATTTACAGATCTTAATGGTGCTGTGCTGATTGTCTCAGACTTATTTTTCTTTTCTTTCAGTTCAGGATCCTAATCCTGGTTTAGAAAGGGGTCTAAGGAATGTCTTCTTCCCTGATTTAAGATACTGGTTTACAACAGAATGTGGTGTGTGTGCGCGCACACACATGCATGCACACATGTGCGTGAAATGCAAACACTGAAACCTAGATTTCACCAGTGGTCCCCACACTCGCTGTGGGGTCTGTTCCAGTCTATTCTCCTGCACTGGTGTGTTCTGTGCCGATACCCTGACCCTTTACCTTGGTTTGATGACCCACTTGTGGGCTCTGCTTTGAAGTTTGAAAACCCAGGCTTCCTGGGCAGGAATTCCTATAGGGGGAGGTTCTGCTCCCACTGGTACTGGCACGGTTGACTTGGGGTCCCCTGTGAGGCCAGAACTGAGAGAAAGTCAGTTTGTGGTCCAGAGCCCCTGGGGCTGAACCCGATTTCTTCCTTGTCATCAAGATCCCCCACCCCCCCACCCGGGGGGCTCTGCCACAACAGCCCTACCCGTGGAGGTGTCCTTCATGTTATGACATCAGGCAGGTGTGTGCTGCTGCCACATGGGCATGGAGGGGGCCCCTCGTCAGCAGCCTGCAGAGTCTTCGTCATAATCTACGAGCGTCCGCAGTTACTAACCCCTAACGTTTGCTGAACTCTGCAGCAGCGTGCTCGGGGTAATGCTGGAGGGTTCAGCAGGGTGCCCTCAGCGACCCCGTGGTGTGGGTGCTCTTGCTCTTTCTGTTAGAATGGCATATAAGGGTTCAGTGCTCCCTGCAGATCAGGCTGAGGTACTGAACAGACAGACTCCCACGGTTGCCCTTGGGGAGTGGGCCTGCTGACATTATCCCCATTGGAGAGGTCGGGAGACTGAGGCTCAGAGAGGTGAGTTGACTCTTCCCAAGGTCACAGAGCGAGGATTTGAACCTGGCTGGCCCAAGTGCCCTCAGCGCCCCCAGGCTGGGAGCAGACCTGGGGTCTCACCCCTTTCTCTTCCCCAAGGCCTTCCTGCTGGTTAATGAGTAGCCAAAGGCAGTTGGGAAAGGAAACGCCTGCTGTGAAGCTGGAATGTGAGTTCTGCCTCCAGATAAAAAGTCTTGAGCAATAAACTAAAAAGTAGGCAATACACAGAGGGGAGCCAGCCACTGCTCCTCTTCCTTGAGGCTCACTGGTCTTCCATAGGAGAGGCAGCCCAGGCAGAGAGGCAGGCTTGCCCTTAGACTGCTCCGATGCCTCCTCCAGGCAGCCCTCTTGACTTGCCCTTCCAGAAAGGGCTTCTTGGCCCCTGACATGGCAGGCTGTGGGATTTGGAGGGAGTTCAGAGGAACAGGGTGGAAGAGCAGAGGCTGTTGTCCCTGAAATGTGCACACCACTGGGCATGTGTCCCCTCCGTGCTGAGTGTTTCCTTTGGGGCCTCGGACCTCTAGGTTCTCATCTGAGAAAGGGGATGGCATAGACTCATGGCTGCTCGGGGGAGTCTATTAAGTGAGCCAATCCCTAAAGCATTGCTGCCAGGGAACGAGTCGTGCGTAGGGTCCCTGGACCTGGGAGTCGGGAGATCTTGCTTCGGGTCCCAGCTCTAGCCCGCGCCCACTGTGTGACCTGGGGGGAGTCGCTGGCGGCCCTGAGCCCCTGCTTTCCCTCCTGTGAGGTGAATACCAGCACCCAGGAGAATTGGACAATGGTCTTGGGACTTGGGGCTCAGGTGACGTCGCCCCTTTGTGATCACACTGGAGTTCTGAAGTGCTCAGCAGCCGGACAGAATCAGTGCCAAGTGTCCCGCGGAAAACTTCCCACTTCATTCTCCAGGGTGGGATCCCTGGAGCAACTCCCCACCACCTCAGCTAATGGGGTCCGAAAATCAATTCCACCCTCCTGGGTCTGTGGGGTAATTTACGGAAGAAAGAAGACTCTTTTTTTTCTTTTTGAGTTGAAGTCTCACTCTGTCGCCCAGACTGGAGTGCAGCGGCCGCTCCCGGCCACCACAGCCTCGACCTGCTGGG